CCTCTTCTTTCGTTCGCATCCAGCTCAGCCACATCACGAGTGTGAGGAAACAGACTGCTGCGGCTCAGGCTGCCTCTGGATGTGGGTATAATATTGCCGTGCTCCCACCTTCCGACACTCTCCTGGCCCTTTGCTAGAGCATAGAATATCTTCAAATTCTAGTTTTTTGGGCGTTACCACACGCTACAACGCCGTCACAACGCCATACATCATGGCGACTTCACCCAATCCTAACCACAACGACAGCCTGTCGCCAACGGCAGCCGCAACATTACAGGTCGGCTCTAGAGAAAGGGCACATAGCACTGCCGAGACTGTCAGATCAGGCGTGTCTGGCGTCTCCAGCCATCACAACAGCAGCCTGTCGCCATCATCAGCAACGCTGCAGGTCGGCGGTCCTGGTAGAGAGCGAGCTTACAGCAACGCCGAGACAGTCACATCCGGCATCTCTGGCACTTCCGATCCCTTCTTAACACCTGCAGCTACGAGCGTGATTTCGAGTTTAATTGAAGAGCCCGACGTCGCATTACGACCGGACCCCGGAACCGAAGGCGACTTCCACGTTGAAAACAATCCATTCGGCTATGCACCAGGCCACTTCAGCAAGCTATTAAATCCCAAATCCCTATCAGCTTACAAAGCCCTCGGCGGTGTAAAGGGGATAGCGTATGGGCTACAAACCGACCTCCACGCTGGTCTCTCCATCGACGAAACCAACGCCCCCTACAAGACCACTTTCGACCAGGCTGTCGCAGCCGGTTCCTCCCCGCAAAGCGAGAAGCCCGTTCCCCAACAATCGACACCTAATACATCCTCTGAGAGCTTCGCCGACCGAATCCGAGTCTTCAAACGCAATGTCCTCCCCGCGAAGAAACCCACATCGCTCTTGAAGCTGATGTGGAATGCATACAACGACACAGTGCTGATTCTCTTGACTGTCGCTGCGGCCATCTCCTTGGCACTGGGTCTATATGAAACCTTTGGCGTCGAACATGAGCCTGGATCTCCCATGCCCCTCGATTGGGTCGAAGGTGTGGCGATTTGCGTTGCTATTATCATTGTCACAGTTGTTGGAGGTCTGAATGATTATCAAAAGGAGAGAGCTTTTGTGAAGCTTAACGCCAAGAAGGAAGACCGAGAGATCAAGGTTCTTCGTTCTGGAAAGTCTTATATGATCAACGTTCATGACATCTTGGTTGGAGATGTCTTGCACCTCGAACCTGGAGATCTTATCCCCGTGGACGGTATTTTCATTGATGGACATGACTTGAAATGCGATGAGTCCTCAGCTACCGGCGAATCTGACGCAATCAAGAAGACCGGCGGCGAACAAGTCATGAAGGCGCTCGAGGCTGGCCACAGCAAGGCCGACTTGGACCCGTTCATCATTTCGGGCGCCAAGGTCCTTGAGGGTATGGGTACATTTGTCGCAACCTCTGTCGGTGTCAACAGCTCGTTCGGCAAGATCATGATGTCTGTTCGAACTGAAATGGAAGCCACTCCTCTGCAGAAGAAGCTGGAACGCCTGGCCCTGGCCATCGCCAAGTTTGGTAGCGCCGCTGCTGGCCTGCTGTTCTTCGTTTTGCTCTTCCGCTTCATTGGCAACCTGCCCAACGACGATCGTATCCCCACCCAGAAGGCCTCCGCTTTCATGGACATTCTCATCGTAGCCATCACAATCATTGTCGTCGCCGTTCCTGAGGGTCTGCCCCTCGCCGTCACCCTCGCACTCGCCTTTGCTACTACGAGAATGCTTCGGGAGAATAACTTGGTGAGAGTTCTTCGAGCTTGCGAAACCATGGGAAATGCTACCACCATCTGCTCCGACAAGACCGGCACCTTGACAACCAACAAAATGACTGTCGTGGCTGGTACATTCGGCTCTGCCAGCTTTACCAAGGCTGATTCCGAGAAGCCTGCTGACATGACCGTCGCCGAATGGGCGGACAGCCTTCCCGAGGACACCAAGAAGGCCATTGTTCAATCTGTTGCTATCAACTCGACTGCTTTTGAAGGCGAGGAGAATGGCCAGGCTACGTTCATCGGATCCAAGACTGAGACTGCTTTGCTTCAACTCGCTCGTGATCATCTGGGTCTTGGTTCTCTCTCCGAGGCTCGAAACAACGAGGAAGTTATCCAGATGTTCCCATTCGACTCCAAGAAGAAGTGCATGGGTGCCGCTATCAAGCTGCGCGGCTCTGGAACCTACCGTCTGCTTATCAAGGGCGCATCCGAGATTCTTCTTAGCCACTGTACATCCAAGGGTGACATCAACACTCTCGAGGAGACTCCCTTTCCACGTGAAGAGCGAAAGCGCATTCGGGGCGTCATTGACGGCTACGCTAGCCAGTCTCTTCGCACCATCGGCCTCGTCTACAAGGACTTCCCCTCATGGCCTCCAGCTCACGCTGAAGTGGAAGACGGCCACGCCGACTTTGCCTCACTTCTCAAGGGTCTCACTTTCTTTGGTCTCGTCGGCATTCAGGATCCAGTCCGTCCAGGTGTTCCCGAGGCTGTGGCCAAGGCTAGACATGCTGGTGTCAAGACTCGCATGGTTACTGGTGACAACATAATCACCGCTCGCGCGATCGCTACCGAGTGTGGCATTTACTCCGAGGGTGGTGTTGTCATGGAAGGCCCCGAGTTCAGGAAGCTCAGCGAGGAAGAGTTCAAGAAGGTTCTCCCTAATCTGCAAGTCCTCGCTCGCTCATCTCCTGAGGACAAGCGAATTCTTGTGACCAAGTTGAAGGAGCTCGGTGAGACTGTCGCTGTCACTGGCGATGGTACCAATGATGCTCCTGCTCTCAAGGCTGCTGATGTTGGTTTCTCAATGGGTATCTCTGGCACTGAGGTCGCCAAGGAGGCTTCCGCAATCGTCCTTATGGATGATAACTTCACTTCAATCATCACTGCTCTCAAGTGGGGTCGCGCCGTTAACGACGCTGTCCAGAAGTTTCTGCAGTTCCAGATCACGGTCAACATCACTGCCGTCCTCCTCGCCTTCATCACTGCTGTCTACCACCCTGAAATGAAGCCCGTTCTCAAGGCTGTCCAGCTCTTGTGGGTTAACCTCATTATGGACACCTTTGCTGCCTTGGCACTTGCGACAGACCCTCCAACCGAAAAGATCCTTGATCGACCCCCTCAGGGCAAGAAAGCTCCCCTCATCACCACCAATATGTGGAAGATGATTATCGGACAGTCAATCTTCCAGATGGTTGTAACTCTTGTGCTGTACTTTGCTGGCCATGAGATTCTTGGTTATGATCGCTCTAGCGAACAGGATCAGACCGACTTGGACACAATCATCTTCAACACTTTCGTTTGGATGCAGATTTTCAACGAATTCAACAACCGACGTCTTGACAACAAGTTTAACATCTTCGAAGGCGTTCACCGCAACATCTTCTTCATCATGATCAACATTCTCATGGTTGGACTGCAAGTGTGCATCATCTTTGTTGGTTCTCGTGCTTTCCAGATCTCAGAAGATGGTCTCGATGCCACCCAGTGGGGCGTATCTATTGTCACCGCTCTCATGTGCTTGCCATGGGCTATTGTGGTTCGCCTCTTCCCTGATGAATTATATGCCAAGATTGCTCGATTTGTTGGAAAACCCTTTCTTATCGTTTACAACGCTATTGGCAAGGCTTGGCGAAGCACCTTTGGTCGACTCTTTGCTCGTCTTAAGAAGTCAAAGAAGACCGATGAGGAGACTGCTGAGCCTACTGTTGTCCCCGAGGTGCGGGAGCCCGAGCCAGAGTCCGAGAAGAAGGGCCCTCAAACGGCACAGCAGAACGTCCCCATGATTCCTGCCATCATCGCCCCCGAGCCTGAATCTGAGACTGACAACAGCCCAAACCAAGGGCCTGAGATTACTATTTCTTCAGAGAAGCGACCAGCCTGATCTCATTGTATACCATACACCATATAAGGCAGCTTTGTTCAGGTGATGGATCATAATCTTAATGAGGGCTTACATAGAACGGAGAGATTATTGAGATACATAGTAGTGGACTACTAGGAGTGTTTTTTTTCTTTGAGTTACAGAGAGCGAAGGCGTTTGGGAATTGATTTTATTTTAGATATCCTTGAATGACAAAAGCAATGAGTCAACAAGTGGAGAAAGGCACAATGTATCACTAGAGTTTGACTGTCTGGAAAGAAGATACTGGGTAGATAGAGAGAAAATCAGTTTATTTGTCAACCCCCGATGAGCCTCCTTAATATCGTTGGCGGACTGCACTGCTCCCCGCCTGTATTAGTGCTGTGTCGAATAAATCAGTATCTACGGAGGCTTTTTAGCCAATGTATTTGTAACTCCCCGAATCCATGTGATTATCAATTGCATTAACTGGGAAACGTAAAGGTTTCATTAAGTTGTCTCCATGTGGTACCAGTGCCAATGTAGAACTAAGGCGTTTTCCAGGCCTTGACTGACTTCCGACTCAGTCTTGGTCTCGTCATGACTGATTCATACAGCAGCACCTTGACGAAGTGCCAAGAAATAAAGTGAACATAGGCAATTTGGACTTTGAATCATTGTAACAAATATGGATCAAATCGCAGCACCCCGCCTGCATTGTTTGCGGTTCATTGTCTTTGAGCCAACCCACCTCGTTCTTTGTATACTCAAACAAGGATGGAGTTGAGAAACTCCAGGAGACAAACACTCTATTTGACAATCGCCCATGCTTGAGAAATTAGACAAGTATTAAGATGAATGTATTTTCTGGTTTGAAGCGGCCATGTTATTTTTATTTTCGTGTTCTTTGTAGGAAACTGATCCGTCGGCCGCGAGAAGTCTATCATTAGATTGTGCATGTGTGATGAAAGGACAACAGAGAGGTCCCCAAACTGCGAACGTGATGTGACAGTGAAATCGTCATATAAATACTTTCAAAATGTTTCAAGTGCTTCCTGGTGAAGAGATCTCTGTTTCTGTACGACAGAATACTACATTCACGCGACCTGAGGTGTAAAGGTCAACATCTTAAACCATGTGTTTCGTATTGACAACACACATGACGAACTGCGAGACCCGTCACATATCAACTTTGGAGGTTGAGCACCCAGAGCTTTGCTTTGACATATACAACCCGTTTACGTATCCGGATGAGTGCGAACACTTTGTCGAGAATTATGAGCAGAACCTGGCCCTGTGTCCTAGGCACGGCACCTGCTGCCAGGTGACGTTCCGGCGAGTGTGTGTTTTCTGGGTTGGCCACGCAGGCGGGATCATCAAGTGTCGAAAGTTCAAACGGTACTTCCACATCACCGTTCCCAGGGGCGGCTGCAACCCCGAGGTTGCCCGCCACTTCGTGGCGCCTTTCCCCGCGCGCGTTGAGTTGACTGCGGAGGAGGAGGAGCGTCTGTTCGAGGCGCACAGAGACTACATCGACAGTGGAGAGGGGGTGAGGACGGCTCTGGAGGGCTGCGGGAGCCGGTGGATCACGGACGTGAACCCGCCGTACGACTGGAGGCCGACCCTCAACGTAGGCGAGAACGTGGAGATGCTTGGTGGCTTTGACGCAGCGCGGGAGAGGTGGGAGAGCACCTGCCCCATGCTGAAGATAGTAGAGGATCCGCCGCGGCATGAACTTCAGAAAGAAATACAGAGCCAGCATCCATATTGGTACAAGGCCGTTAAAGTACCTCGGACGGGCAATGAGGGCATCCCGTTGCCTGGAGCAGAGGGATTCATCGACGATCAACCCACCCCTGTGGAATCGTCAGTATTGGATACCGAAGAGGGGGATCAGGACGTCCCGCTGCCTCCATCGTCAGACGGGCCGAACCAAATATGGAGTTCGGCTTCAGGGGAAGAGAATGACTCCGGACTTGGCCAGGATGACGAGCAGGGACCACTGGCAGCTCCTCAAGCTCTGGGCGGACATGCTCTGCCGGCCGAGCCCGGGAACGGGCCTGTAGAACCGCCAGCGAACCCAAACCTGTCTTCTGAGCAGCTGAGTGCCTTGAGAGATATGCTCGTCCAGCCGCCCCCGGGTGATGTCCCGGGTGTGAGATTACGGAGCGGGATGGTTGGTATTCCGGTCACGGGGATGGTGTGGCTCCCAGCCCAGGGATTGCTGCACCCGCCGGTACAGGCCCCGTTCCATCTTGACAATGTTGACGATCGCGGATACAACAGAGCGCCGGATGGGTTGCTACTACTGCCGGCGGACATATTAGGGCGTCTGCTGAACAATATACGAAGAAACATCCGACCAGAGAACGTTCCAATCCAGTCCGTGGAAGGTGAAAACGGATTTGCGCCGCCAATCGTCTCACCCTTGACAGACGCTGAGGCTCCTGGAGGTGGTGGTGAGGGATCTCGGCCCCCTGAGTCGGGAGAGAGCCAGCGTGATGAGGAGGAAAGCGCTACGAATTCAAACACCACCCGAGGGTCAGGCGGGCTCCAGGAAAATGATGCACCGCTGCCCCCGACGCAGTCACCAAGTGGTGGCGAGGAGGAAAGCAGGACAAATTCAAACACCACCCGAGGGTCAGGCGTGAGTCCGGAAAGTGATGCACCACTGCCCCCGACGCAGTCACCAAGTGGTGGATCGGGACAGGGTTCCAGCCAACAAGCTACCTCGAGCCTGCTCCAGAGCTCGCTGCTACCAGAGTCAGGAAACGATGCAGACGGGAGTCAGCAATCTGGCTCCCTTCTATCCGCAGTCCCTCCAAGTCCTCAGGAGGAAGGGAATTCGGAAGAGGCGACCACCGAACTCTTGTCGGACAGGTCGAACGGCGCGCTGGAAGAGGTGGAAAATGCTCTGGAGCCGGCCGAGAGCGACGTGCCGCGCAACACTCGGAAAAGAGCAGCAGAGGAGGAGGAGGAGGTGGAAGAAGAGGAAGAGGAGGTGGAGGAGGAACCGGCCCCTCCACCACCGACGAGAAGACAGCCGGCAAAGAGACGGCGCGTTGAGCAACCCGTCGAACAGCCCATCGAGCAACCTGCCGACGAACCTCGGTATAGGTTGCGACAAAGGCGGAAGGTGAACTACACCCAGTAGATGGGGTCCAGCTCTTTATATCGCAGTGCCTGTGATTTTGTATATTTGTTTTTGAGCTCATGCGACTTAGACTTGCGATTGTTTTGGCGTTAAGGCTTGTTTTATGTATACCGTTGGGATGGATGAGTATCATCGTATTCGATATATCCGCTTATAATTTGTGTATATCCGCTTGGAAGATTGAGAGAGCAAAGTGGCAACTGTGAAGGTCTTCATCGTCTGCTCTGTGATTGGATATGCTGCACCGTCAATGAAACAGACCGGTGGTTGTGTATTCAGTGAAGAAGGAAGCCCTCAACAAACCTGGTAATAGCGTGATGGCATGTTCACTGGATTGTGCGAGACAAAGAAGCTGGTGGGAGGGAGTGTTCGAGAGGCATGAGCGCTGTTTGTGGATGGAGCGTTGAGCCGCCGCTGGGGCTGGGAGGCATGCAGATGCGAAAGAGTAAAATTCACGCCAGCCTCAATCGCGGAATAAACAGGTAATTATCATTCAACAGCATCAATCTTATGACGATACGTAATTAACAACATTAAAACAAGCCAAGAGATGTCTAGACGCGCAAAATACCAGGTACAGCTCACTTGATCACGTCCAGCACATCTCGTTTTCTTGCGGAGGGGGGGAATAAGCAACTCAAAAGATCCAAATTATCCAGCAACCAAACACACATGACGACCCAGGGCCACTTAGAAGACCCTCGACTTGACCCTGACCTGGTACCCGATGGGCCGCACATTGAACCAGCCATCCATGCCGGCCTTCTCGACGTCGTAGTGGGGGTCGACCTGCTCGAAGTCGACCTCCCTGAGGAGCTGCGCCGTCGTCTGCACGAGCCACTGCCAGGCGTAGTGCTTGCCGATGCACTCCCTCTTGCCGTTGCCGAACCACCGGGTGGCGGCCTTGGGGAGGTTGGCGAACGAGTCACCCATCATGCGCTCCGGCCTGAAGGTGAGCGGGTCCTCGAAGAGGGCCGGGTCGCGGTTCACGCCCGAGAGGACGAGGATGAGGGCCTGGTTGTGCGCGACCTCGTACCTGCCGCCGCCGAGGAGGATGGGCTTCTTGTCGTCGCTGGGGATGGGCTCGATGTTGAACCCGGGGGCCGGGTTGCCGAGGCGGAGGCCCTCGCGGACGACGCCCTCGACGTACTTGAGCTGCTCGAGGTGCTCGAACCTGAAGTCGCCGTCGCCGATGACGGAGTCGATCTCCTGGCGGGCGGCGTCGATGACGGAGGGGTTCTTGAGGAGGTAGTAGACGATGCTGGTGATGGTGCAGGGGGCGGTGCTGCTCCCGATGGGCATGGAGACGATCTCGTCGATGACCTGGGAGTCGGTGAGGGCCTTGCCCGTCTCGGGGTCCTTGTGGCTCATCATGGCGGCCAGGAGGTCCTGGCGGTCGGTGGGGTTCTTCTTTCGCGCCTCCACCACGTCGGCGGCGAACTTGCGCATGGTCGCGATTGACTTCTTGAACTTGCTCCCGTGGAGGAGCCAGTTGACGATTCCAGGTCGGGTCGGGCGCTGGACGGCTTCGGAGGTCGAGTCCTCCATGGCTTGTAGCATCGGGTGGGCAGGGCCCTTGAGGCCGTCCAGGCGGGTGCCGAAGAGGGTGTAGGTGGTGGCTTCGAGGTTCAGCCGGTTCAGCTGCTCGACGAGGGTGATGGTGTTGCTGGATCCGAGGTCCTTCCACTGCTGCACGAGCTCGGCGGTGATGTCCCGCATCTCGTAGAAGTGGTCGGGCATGGTCTGGGGCGAGAGCTTGGGGGCGATGATGCGATGCGCAATGCCCCAGCTCTCCTCGTGGTGGAAAGCCGTGAAGAGGGCATCGTGCACGGCGGCCCGGATTTCGATGATGGGACCACTGACGAGCTTTCTGAACCGCTTCTCGTCGCAGATCTCCTCGGCCAGATTGGCACCGGCGATGAAGACAATGGTCCGGCCGAGGATCTTGACCTGGAAGATCTCTCCATGTGTCTCTGCGAGCTTCTTGAGGGAGGCCCACGTATTGCTCGCCTTGATGTCAAAGAGGTTTCCCACAATGGGGAGAGGCTTTGGCTGGGGGATTGGCGTGGACATGTTTGCAGATGAGGGAGAATGCTGTCGTTGGGTGATGTTTGTTTACTGTGCCGGCACGGGGGAGAAACACGATGGGCGGCAGAGCTCCAGCCATCGAGACGAGTAGGACGGCCATGATATGCAATGTCCTATATGCAACTCACCTCATAGGCTCGTTACACCGCAAGACAAACAATCGGTTGATTATGACCCGCCCTCCACGTCACAAGTTCGCGAATGCCCAGTCAGTGACTTGCGTTCTTGTCTCACCTACCGCCACCAGCGGAGGCCAAGTCCTGTCCTGCGCAGTTCAGCTGGGCAATAATAGGGAGCTTATCCTTTCTGGATACCGGCTGCAGGCTAGGAAGGTTTAGTCCCCGCGGGGGGAGAGTACCTCCATGCAGCTACACATGTATTGGCATCAGATGTGACCATCCGTTGGGAGGGAGGGAGAGCCATCAATGCTACCTGAGGAGAAGGTGGCTACGCCCATATTGTCCGAGGACGCGTCCCAGTGCCTTGGATCCCTTGAAACGACTTCTCGTTCGCGAGAGATGCTCTGGCAAGAGCAGGATGTTGCAACCAGATACTTAATGATCTGCCGAGACGGCATGCATTAGTGGGAAGAGGCCGCTTTCCGTGGAATCAGGATCAGCACACCAATCCGATCCAATCAACCAGCTGGAGTGGCTCCTGTAACCCTGCACCCACGATCGAATCATATCACCGCCCAGCAAATCAGGCCTCCTGTGATGGTCATCTTGTTGTCTCTGGGAAAAAGACTGGGGAGAGCTGAACCAGCAGCAAAGCTGATTTGACACCGGCTGCAGTGCGGAGAAGACCTGGGAGGTGTGGCCTTCCGTAACCCTTGCTTAGGTTTGAATGGTCATCATTGTTTTGCTTTTTTCTTTTCCCTTGCTTGCTCCGAGACCATCATTTGTTGAGGTAAGACATTTGGATTACTAGTGTCGGGCAGGGCATTGAGGACAGCGAACCAATTCCAAGCACGCGGGGGCAGCTCTTTGCATGCTGCGTCGTGGTGTGTCGCATCCCATGCACATGCTCCCCCGTGTCGCGATCCTTTACAGTCTTGGGAATGGCAATGTTTTCAAGAGGACGATGGATGGGATGAGAGCCGGCAATTGAGCGAGCGCTTGACCATCAATCTCAAGCTGTGTCCACTGATCCACTGGCGCGGCCCGCATTGCACTAGCACCTTCGCTAGGGACTGCTAGGGACTTTAGTAGTGGCAGGGGACGGCGAAATTAATGTCAATGTACGGGCATACATTGGTGTGATCGGTGAATTATTTACAGGCTGGGACTCACTGTGGCTGGATGGTGGTTGTTCTCGGTGCTTTAGGCACTGATAATCCCCCGAGACGACCCAACAAGCTCTCGCCTACCACAATGCTGAGGAGGTGGTTGGCCGCACCCGAGGTTGCATCGGTTCCCAGGTCTGATGAAGAGGAGGCTGGGAGGAGCAGCAGTGTGTCATAGTGGTGAGTGTCTCGTAGGAATTATGCAAATATCGTCAGACAAGCATCACCGCGAAACCACAGCCCACAATTGCAACATGTGAGGTTATTCCCAGAATATTCAATCAGCATTTCAATTTAACAGTGAGAAAATATTGCCCACTTACTTGAGAGTCTAGACTCAATTGCTGGGCAAATACCACGCTCGGGCAATGTGGGAGAAGACGAAGCTTACCACCTGCAACAGGTATCAACTCGGTTGGCCGACCTGTCACTCGACACAGCGGCTCCATCGATTGGATTGATGTTCGTGTCCAGTCCCAAAAGTAGAAGCATTGGGGGTATAGAAAGGCAGGCGTCATTTGACTGACTATAAAAAGACTATGGGGGTTTTTAATTCCCACAGATATTACCTTTGTATGAGCTTTGTATGGCTCGCCTTAAGGTGACTATAGCCCCCAGAGGGATTGCACTATGAGAAACTACTATTATCAAGGGTTACATAGCCCCTCTGTGGGCTAAAAGGGCACTTTGGTGTAGTAGGGGCCAAAATCATGCAGTGTAGATGTTGCAGAGTTGGATGATGTTACCTGCAGTTAACAAAGCGCCTGAAGCTGAAATCCCTCAACCATGGCCATCCCAGTAGGAATTTTCCGGAGACCAGTCATGTTAAGAGTTGGAAAGAAGAAGAAAAAGAAAAAACCAATGAGTTTATGCTTGTTGCTTCCAAGATACTTGGATTCATCAGCTGCACCATGGCACACTTGGGAGACGAGAACCTGTCCCATATTGAGTTACAGTCTCTACCCTCAACGACGGAGGTTGCAGAAGGTGCACAAAATCCTAAACATCACGGGAGAAGGTTGAACAGCGAGACTGTCTCGCTTATCAACGACGAAGGCGACAGCCAAGACCACGATGAGATATCTACGAAACCTACCGGTCTGCTAATTCGAGATACCGCTCTGCCAACACCCGCAACCGATCCAAAGGACGTACGCAATGGCCAGTCCAACGCCTTTGTGGCTTGGGGCCTCGAGTTGGCAGTCCTCCTCCTTGCGTTTGGTGTCTTTGGGGCTATGATTGCCATTTTGCAATCGTTTAGAGACGGAGAGGTGCCCAGATGGAACGGCACTAGTAGTGGAGGCATCACGCTCAACGCGCTGATTGGCGTTCTCGCCACCATCTTCCGTGCATCTCTGGCCTTCGTAGCATTCGAAGTGCTCGCCGAGTTGAAATGGGAATGGGTGGCAGCGCGGTTCAGGCCATTGAACGACGTGCAGCGTTTCGAGGACGCTACTCGCGGTGCCTGGGGATCCATGATGCTTCTGCCGGTTGTCACGATACGGCAACCGCTCAGTATAATCGCCGTCATTGTGGTCGTTCTGTCCGTAGCCGTTGGGCCCTTTGCTCAGCAGGCTATGCAGACATACTACTGCCTACGAATTGCGGAAGACCGGCCTGCTAGCGTCCAAGTGGCCCATCGGCTCGATACTGGCCGTCTTTTCTACGCTCAGCGACCATCTTACTATGTGCTTCATGTTGGCCTGCAGGCTGCAATGCAAGATGCCGTGGTCAACCCCTCAAACGACTCCAACATTCCCTCGATGTTTCAGTGCCCGACTGGCAACTGTACTTTTCCTACCTACGCCGACCGCCCAGAGCAGGCCGAAGAGGAAAGGGCGTCTTATGCAAGTCTTGCGATGTGTGGACGCTGTGAAGATGTCTATGACCTGGCGTTGACGAACATTAAGGAGCAGGCAGGGAATGACACTGGCAGTATCTATATCCAGTTGCCAGTCTCAAACTCGACCGGGTACCAGAGCAAAATGACGGATAAGCTCCAGGTGAACCCTGGTGGCCCGGTCGGCTCAAATGTCTCGTATCTGGACGCCGCAGTTGTTGGTGACCTCGGTTGGGCTAGTCGGGTTGTGCCACAGGACTTTTTGGATGTTGCCAGCGGTTCCGCTGCCAATTTTTCGATATTGGCCTTATCACAAGACCACTGTGGCACGCTTGCTAATGGCAGCATCTCATGTCCGCTGTCTGGTGCAAAAGTCATGTCACTATTCAACGGGGCCTGGGGCAAGCCCAAAGACTACGTCGCAGCGGCTTGCACGCTGTATCCGTGTATCAAGTCCTACGCGGGTACCGTCCAGAACGGAGCTCTCTCTGAGACGGTCGTCCGGTCCACGCCGGTTCGTATGACAGACCGTGACGAGTGGTGGAAGCGAAATAGCGTCCAGGTCCCATGCATGGCGAACGGCACGCTCTACACTTCTTCAAACATGTCCTCCGCGGCTGAAGAGCTGCCTACCAGTGCCAAACAAAATGTCTCTATAGATCTCAAGTATTGGCCGCATGATGGCCATGTCGTCACGGTTGGTGAGGCTAACGTGACGGCCCCACGGGACTGCATCATGTCCGTCGTCGATAGCTTCCTGGGCGCGGTTCATGATGTGCTGGTAAAGACAACACGAGTGAAGTGCCTGCCACAAGGCCATCAGGTAGAAACTGCCAGCTGCTTTGCGGTCGAAGGAGACAAGTTGATGACGGGCGACGATTCGATCGCAATGGCTGGCTTCCTACACCCTCGCGTTACCAACCTGAATACCATCAGAGAGAATGTTGAGTCGTTGAGCATGCGGATAACGACTCAGATACGCCAGTCCGGCTGGGGCCCGTACACTGAAGATCCGGTGGTCGTTCAGGGAGAGGCGTGGGAGAGCCGTACGTGCCTCCATGTGGCATGGGAGTGGTTCGCCCTCCCGGCGACGTTGCTGGTCCTCTGCACACTGCTGGTGGCGGGGATGGTAATAAGAGATTTGCAAGTGAGTGGTGATAGCATAGTGTGGAAGGGCTCGGTTTTGCCGTTCTTACTCAAAGACCATGTTAAAGGTCTGGAAATGTCGAGCCTCAAGACGCTCAATGTGGCAGCCAAGGATTTTGAGATCAAATTGCAGAAGGCAGACTAGCCTGGTCTTCTGCAAGTAAGTCGTCTTCCGGCGTAATTAGAACATAACCTTAGATGAATATCTTCACGTACAAATTGAAACGTTCTCCTCCTTCCGTTGCGATGCTTCGTGAAGGCTCACTCGAGGAAGTTGGCAGCCAGCTGATAAGATAAGGTGGATGCTTAGTCACTCCCCCACCTTAGTCAGCGACTCATTTGCGCCCTCACGCGAAACCCCTGACACGTCGAGCATCATTCGAGCTTCAACCCCAAGAAGCCACCAATTCATCCGTCTGTCCTTACCGTCCACTTTGCAATCAAGCCAAGATGACGCGCGCACAACAAACAATCTCCCTGGCACTTCTTGCCTCCTCTGTATGCCTCGAAACCCAGCTGGACGTCCACGATCTTACTGCAACCTCTTAGCTAACTACATTGGGTAGCTTTACCTCGTCCTCTTTCTCGAGCTGATCCCTCTCCCCGCTCTCGTCCAAGAGCAGGTCATCCCCGTGGTATGTCGATCTACATTCAGATGCTCTTGTTGAAATACTTTGGCTCCCCTCATTATTGCGCCCTAGGCAACTGGGCACAAGTCGAGACAACTTGTCGCTGACCTAGCCATTCTTGAATAGCTGCCCTTCTGGGCCCTCATCTCCTTCGGCTCTCTGCTGCTCTTCCGTCTCGGCCTAGGCGTCATGACCTTCAACGACGTCCCCGAAGCTCACAAGGAGCTCATGGCCGAAATCGATCTCGCCAAGGCTGACCTCCGAAGCCTCGGTGTCGATGTCGACTAAACCATTCGACCATTACACGGACAAGGATAGGAGAGACTTAATGATTCGCCATATCACTGCAAGGGGCTGCTGTAAACCACTGTTGTACGATTAGGCGAGACGGCATAATGCAATGGAGAAAAATACAATAGATGTGACAACGTTGAGAGATCATGCAATGGCATTAATGTGATTGGGTTTGACTATATTATTCGTGACGTCGTGCATGGTACAGATTTCAACCTCGAGGGCCTGCCTGCTGGATCGATTCTGCACCTGTGATTACCTGGAGAGCTTAGAGGGTGCTTCAATTGCCGGCAAGAAGAGCGACGACTTTGCGCACTGCCACGTTGGGTTCCTCTCCGCCTTCAACCAGCCCCTGAAACAAAGATGGCAGCTTCCCGAAAGTGCCTTTGCGATCAACGCCGTGCCCTGATGAATTGATGTTAGCTGATGTTGGATAAAACTTGAACTGGGCATCGTCTTACAGCTACCTGGGACGGAAACAATGGCTGACACTTTACTCTGCGCTTCGCCGGTCCAATCGAATTCCACTCTCCAGTTAAGTCGGATGGAAGTTGTTGAACCAGCTGAAGGGATCTTGATGTCAAAAGACTGAAGGCCCATGAAGGGGAGCAAATCTCCAGTTGCGTAAGAGAGCTCGTCATCCTTACTGCCCCTTGTCGACCCTTTTCCTTTGGCTTGCCTGGAAGCCTTGGCACGCACGTCCCGGCTCACCTCGAGGATCGCAGCCTTGGACTGTGTTTCCTGTTGTAGTCTTGACCAGAACTGGGCTCTTCGTTCTGAAATCCGTAGCCACTCTGCCATGGCCCATGTGATGATTCCAATATTACGCTCCATGCTTCTGTTGCACTCCCCCTGGCAGATCTTGCGCAGGAACGACTCGAGTTCTGGTTTCGCAGTTGGCTCTAAGCCACCCACGTCGATGGAAGCAATCTCCAGCTTGAGCGCGTCGAGTGTGATCTTGATGAGGGCGCTAAACAGAGCTGGCGACTGCCGAGCCTGGAGTCGTACTGAAAACTGCTGACGCAGAGGCTCGTCGGCTATTCGAGGCAAGGTAGTGAACTCGGACGATATGCTAAATGGGCTGAACAGCTCAAGAAACGGCAGTTCCTCAGCTGCCGTCATCACGACCGGCCGATGGGAGTGGACGGCGTCACTCGCTTCCTCGTCTTCTTCGGAGTCGGGGATGACAGCGGCGACAGGTCTTCCCATGGGCACGAGTGCCAGGGGGTCCAAGGCTGCTTTCGCTAGCAGTTCTGACTGCGACGGGAGAGATTCGGTCGCGTCGGGAGCAAGATGACGTTTCAACAAATCGAGAACCGCATCCTCATCTGACGCCGTGACCTTGCGACCGGATCGGAGCATCACTCGTATGCGGTCATTTTCTCTCTCAGCAAAGTCCAAATCCCTCTTCAAAGCCTGGAGCTCCTTTGCCAGTTCGTCCCTTTTTCTCTTCTTCTCGCTATTGGCGTCCCGCGGTTTGATCCCGCGGATGTTGGTCGATCTCTCCCTGAGCGCGGCTCCTTGACCAAGTTGGCCTCGACGCACCCCCGCCTTTTTCAGATTCTTATTGAAGAAGCTTACGTTCTCGGTGTCATTCTCTCCGGGCCGCGTGGGTGGACGTTTCAGCGGGGAGCTGCTCGGGGGTTTATTCCTTCCTCTCCATTTTGACGGGCTGCTACTATGAATACCTCGCGGTGGGGTTGAGGAGACGGCGTCGGGTACAGAGGGAGGCAATTCTGGCTCGGGGGGTGGTGGTATCGCGATGCCAGTCTGCGGAGAGCGGCGAAGGGTGTTTCCGAGGAATGGGTTGAGGTCTGCCTCTCCCTCGGGAGCTGGCGGTGGTAATGGGCGGGGATTCGGTCTGGGCAGCGATCTTCTAGGTGCTGCAGCCAATCCCGTCTTGACTCCCTTTGTACGTGGCGGGGGCTCAGCACTTTCTCGTTGGTCTTGTTCTGGTCCGGCCGTAGTGTTATCGCCAGGAGGATTTTCAGGGGACGGCCTCGTCGGCGACTGTTTGCGCGTGAAGGTGACGCTCTGTTCGCTCGGGGGTAGACTAAGGCGCTGGGGAGCTTGTCTGAGTGGGCTATTTCGCGACACGGGCGGTCGTTTCGGAGGGGATTGGGACAGTCGTCTTTCGAGGATTTCGGGGTTGAAGCGCGACATGCTGGATCTTGTTGGCGAAGCGAAGGACGGCCGTTGCCGCCGTGGCGATGATCCGAGCCCTTCGGTGGGCGCGTCTCGTGTTGGTGAAGCTGACCCGGACAGGCGAGGCGATGTGCGCCGCCTTTTCGGCGAAGAGCCTTCCATTCCGGTTTCAATGCAGGTCTATAATAGAAATTCAAAATATCCCATGTTGATATTTCTAGGCAATAGTGCAAGAAACGGTTGAGGCTTTGTTTACTTGAGGATTGTCAATTCTTTACCGTGTAAATCATTGGTGGAGCGCGTTCTGGAACTTGGGATGGATCAAGTAAACAAAGTGGGGCATCAGAGCGCCTCGTCAGATGTCAGATGGGCGAGATGATGAGCCTTGAATCAGCAAGGTGAACAGCTCGCGGGGTGTTTTGTAGATATTCTATCTCTTGAGGAAATCCCATGAATAAAAAATCAGATATTCTTTTCTGATATGTTAGCTCGTACGCTCTCAATACAAACATGACTTTGCGACCGACAACAGCTTCCCACCAACACCAGACCGAAAGTGTCACGTGCGGCAGCCATCCACTGAAGCGGCAGATCGACCCTGAAAGCTATGACGTCCGTTCGTTCTCCGAACTGGAATCCATTCCCACATCGCAACTCGCCTCAACACACTCTCGGTTGGACAATTCCAACAATCCCATTTTAGTTTTTCTTTCTCTTGTTTTTCCTCTAGCGGACTTTATAGATCATCTGTCCCCCCCTCCGCCAGAGCCAAATGGCTCTTCCTTTAAGAATAGTGCCGCGGGGCCTACGACTTCTACTGCCGGCATCCAACCTCGGCCGATCGTCATTTTCAACGTCTACAGCGCGGAGGGAAGAAGAATGGCCGCAGCGGACGCCCCTCGGAGCGTACTACGAGAGCATTCTAAACAACCGGACGTCCTATCCCACCAAGCAAAAGCGTGAAGAACCTCCGAACACGGCCGACCCAGAGGTCCTACCAAAAGACAAAAAGCCACTACGATCTCCGCTGACCGAAAAATCACAAACCGATGGCACCGCGAAGGCTTCATCCTCTGGCGCAGCTGGGGCCGCCCCGATCCCAACACCGCCGCCGACCACCGCAGCAGAGAAGGCAAAGATCATCTTTGGCACACGTCTTGCGGGCCCGGAAGACATGGCCGCGCGCGCCGAGTCAAAGAAGTCTAGGTCCATCTTAATAGGCGATGTTCTAGTGCCGCCGAAACCTCAGGAGCCCGACAATTGCTGCATGAGCGGTTGCGTCAACTGCGTGTGGGAGCTATACCAGGAGGACGTCGAGGAGTGGCGGGCTCAGAAGGCGGCAGCAGAGGCGCGGCTCAAGGCCAGCCAGCAGGCGGCCGACGCTGCTGCTCCCGAGTTGAGTAAAAAACCCGCGGGTGTCAGGGTTGGGGAGGCTAAGATCGCCAAAGATCTGTGGGATGATGAGCTGATGCAGAGCGTCCCTGTTGGCTTCCGGGAGTTCATGAAGATGGAGAAGAAGCTGAAAGAGAAGCATGCGCGTGAGCGCAGCGGCGGCTAAGAATCTGTTTTTACAACCCTCATTTTCACATTGGCCTTTGCACTTATCATGTATAGATATCCAGCGATTTATAGACTAGAGCAGATACATCTAGACGAATATAGCATCATCGGAGACTCCAAAGATGGAGCTCATGTTTCTAGCCACGGCTCGCAGCTGCCAGACACCCATTCATGGTGCGTTGTGTGTTTTTTCGGGCCATTATCGCCAATACCAAAAAGACCTTGATATTACTCACCGAGGTCGGTCCCACATCGCCAACAGGCAACGGCGGATTCCGATGGCATGAATTTCGAAAATGGCCGAGCTAAGCTGCGCTAATTGGGGGCAGTGAGATCATTGGAGGGGCACCTCGAAAGTCCCAGGCCTCAGTGTGGAGAGAGGAGGGGCAGCGGAAGCCTGGCAACGTTTTTCCCAAATTTACTGGCTGCCCTCAGGCCAGGCGCTGGCCGCCTGCACGATCGACGCGGGGCTTGCACTTACAGCTGCCCCCTTTGGGAAGAGGGCAAGAAAAAAAATCCTTCTTGGCGGACCTCGCTCTTTTTTTTTCTCTTCCTTCCTCTTCTTTTTCTCTTGGGTAACAAGCTGCCAATACCGACTCTTGTGTGTTGCCCCCGTGGTCTCGATCCCCCGTACCACGTCGTCCTCGAACACGAACCTGCTCATTTCCCACCTCTCGAAACATCCGCGCGACCCGATCCATCGTCCTCCCAGCTCGACGCCAGCGCTACCCTCGACAAGAACACTGCCAAGATGGTCAAGAAGATCTACGTCACGTACAACGATGTGAGTGCGACGTGCCTGGCAAGTCTGGGATCGATCGAGTCTATCCAGACAGTCGAGTGCCTCAGTGCAACCTGCCTGCGACACGCCAACCTGCCACCTCGGCACAAGTTTCGCCGTAGCTGACTCTGGGTTGCTCAAACAGGTGCACAAGCTGTGCAAAGAGTCGGCTGAGAAGCTGCTCGTCGATTTCCAGCCTCACCTGATGGTCGCCATCGGCGGTGGTGGCTACGTTCCCGCTCGTATCCTTCGATCCTTCCTCAAGAAGCCCGGCTCGCCCAACATCCCCATCCAGGCCATTGGCCTGTCTCTCTACGAGGCCCTCGGCAACGACACCCAGGTTGAAACTCTGGGTACTAAGGTTACCCGCACCCAGTGGCTTGACCTCAGCTCCTTGGGCGAGATGGAGAACCTGATCGGTAAGCGCGTCCTGATCGTCGATGAGGTCGACGATACCCGCACCACCCTCGAGTACGCCGTCAAGGAGCTCGAGAAGGACGTCGAGCTC